GTGAGTATTATACTTGAAACTTTACTGTCCCCAGTTGTCATTTATATCTCCCGTATATTGTTCTTGAGATTCCTTCTGACTGCATCATATTTGTCTTGTTTCTTTGAAGGTGCTTGAAGAAAAAGAAGAGAGGATTGCCCCTGGGACTTTACTTGGCACAACTCACACGTAAGAATATAATTTGTTGTTTTTTTATTTATGTTTCTATAGCTTCAAATCTTTGACTGATATCATGAAACTTGTTTTTTGCTTACAGATATGTGGTTAACACTGGCACCCAAGACAAGTCAGCTGCCAAAAGGGTAAGAGAGATGAGTAGTCATTTTTTGATCTTGAAGTTCCTTTACCCCTGGTTATGCAAATAAAGTTGTGCGTAGATTTAGAACATCATCCCAGATTTGCTACAATAGGCAGTTTTGTCCTTCTTGACAAACCTTTTGGGTCATTTGCAACGTTAATAAGTAGTATTTCCCTGCTGTAACTGGACATATCACCACCGACTCTGAGATAAACTAGCCGTTGTAAGGGGGTTTTCAACTCTGAATCCCTTGGGTCAAACAAATGCTTTTAAATGCTGAAATCAGATGTTTTATTTAGCCTGAAGTTGAAATCTTTGTGACTTAATTGGTTATGTTGCCATAATTTGACGTCTGATTATAAATTTTCTTCTGTTTCAGGTTGATCTTCTCAAGGGCCAAAAATCTGACAGGGTGGAAGTCAGTCTACAGCCAGAGGAGTTGGAACTAATGGACAATGTCTTGCCTGCAAAGTGAGTTGGACTCTTACGACTTTTACCATATAAGAATATCTAGACCCCAAAGTTAAAATCTAGTTTACTCACTTCGGCAAATTTCACAGGTATGAAGAAGCTAGAGAGGAGGAGAAGCTACGGAGTCAGCGTGAGGACTTCAGCGATATGGTGGCTGAGGTAAGGCTTACTGGAATCTTTTGGATGAAATTTTGGGTGTTACCGAATTTATCCAAAAATGTCGTAATAATAATAATAATGCTTCAAATATGTGATTGTTTCATTTCACATGATTTTGTAAAAAACTCGCTATCCTCCTGATTATCGTCTAAGTCTAAACAATAAAAGTTCAGTCTTTATGTTTGACTATGGTGGATTAGTTAGGCCTAACCTGAAGTTAGGTCTGTTGATGTGCTTGATACCAAAATTAGACATTTAGCGGAATGTTTTCAACAGTATCTCATACAAACTATCTGAAATGGAAGATATGTATATTTCTTAAAGATGGTTTAATAATTTGGAGTTGATTTGGGTCAAACCTTGATTTTTTTTAACTGGAATAATGGGTTGCAATGGATGTGTATGATTGTTAATTCCATGTATTTTGATGCAGAATGAGAAGAAAAGGAAGCGTAAGATGCAAGAGAAAGAAGGGAAATCAAAGAAAAAGGATTTCAAATTCTAGGTAGACCAAAGATTCCGACCGCGAAGGAGAAGCCGATTTGCGTTGCATCGCCTGTCAATTGAGAGAATGAGGCCCTTTTAACATTTGTGCTTAGATGTGCTGAATTCGTTTCCCCATGTCAACATATATGCTTGTAATAATATGAATATATATGAAGATTGACGCCAATCATGATGACACCTAAAATCCTCATTTGCTCCGACTGTGTTTCGGCGACGTAGCTTTTTTCCGGACGGAATTGAAAACGATACTCCTATCCTGTAACTTGTTGAATGCATCAGTAGAATGAGTGTAGAATGCTGCAGTTCTTTTTCTTATTTGAAGTAGTTGCTAGTCAGGTGAAAATCTTCATTATCTTCCGGACTGCAATTTGAGGGGAATACACATAAAGCCTATGCTTGTCCATGAATTCGCAATTTACGAAATCATGGAACCGACTGCAGTCCATAAATAGGAGGAATCTAATCAGAATTTTATTTTGGGTAACCTACTTTAATAGTCACTAATGTTTTGATAAGTTTATTTTTTACCATTAAAGTTTGAAGTCAGATTACGGTCACTAACGTTTTTGATTTCTAACAAAAAGATCATTCCATTACATATAAAATAACGTTTTTGATTTCTCAAAAGATCATTCCATTATCAATAAAACATCAAATAAATTGATGATGTGATAATTAGGGGACGGGCATGACTCCTCCACCCGAAATCCGACCTGACCCGTATAATATATATCTTCTACTCGACACGAACCCGACTCGATTTTTTGAAATAAAATCCAAACCCGACCCGAAAAAATAAAAAAATATATTTTTATTTAATAAAAACAGTGATTTAATTAAAAAATAATATATAAAGGGGTATTATTGTAATTATTCCTAAATATATAAGGTAAAATTATATTTTTTCCGGGTCGGGTCAGGTCGGGTATTTTTCACCCTAAACCCGAATCCGACCTGAATACAACCTTTAAAAAAACTCGACTTAACTCGAACCCGAATTAAAAAAAAAACGACCCGATCGGGTTGGGTCCATGCACATCCCTAATGATAATGTTTTGAAAAAAGTGTAATATTTAATTTTACTGTTAAATTATATCATTAAAACATCAAATAAAAAGACAATTTTATATTTAATTTGTCGTCAAATGATTTCTAATTTCTAACTCTTGACAGAGTCGAGAAATGCTCGAGAGAGATCATCTTCGTTTACATGGCTGACAACAAGATCGTTCACGGCTTTCGTCCCGCGTCTATACAAAAATGTAATACTTAAAGGTAATGCTTTTGAAAGTAATTGATTTCAGTGAAAATTGAAAGGTAATACTTTTGAAAGTATTAGATTTCCATAATATTGAATCTTTCGTATGCCGCATCAAATAAGAAATAAATAGCAGAATTCCCTCCGCAACAACATTGTCAAAGGATAAATGTGGGCTGCACAATTCCATCTTTAGCCCAAGGATCTCAGCAACGATCTCGTTCTACTCCAATAAACATAGTTGTTCAAACTTAAATCATCGAAAGCAATAAATTATCTTCAATCACTGCAACGACTCAATAATTCAGTCATAGAATCTCGTTTTGGTCATGGATAGTTCCGTTTGTGGATTTGTATATCACTACTTTGATTATCAACCCTCGTAACAATGTTAATCCAAAGTAGTGTCGGTCCTTAAACAAAATATCCGTACCATAACGATGTTCAAAGTCCCTCCTTATTATTAGTATCGATATTGTACGAATACAATTTGATACATTTTAAATAGTATCGATATCGATTGTTTAAAAGATTATAATTAAACATTTAATCCATGTATTTTATATTGTTTATGTTTTGACCTCAATTGATGTGATTCTTACACTTTAACCCTTAAAGTCATAATTAGTCTAAATAATTATCTCATATCAAATTAGGGTCAATAAAATATTAAATTAATTTTGATCAGTTAATGTAACATCGTCAATCCAATTCTCGACTAGACCGAATTGAAGGGGTCATACATAAGATAACAACTTTAGCATGAATTTACTGTAGACATGTGTCATACATTTTGGGATAAAAATTACTCTAACATTATAAGGAATTCAATAAATTAGTAAAAAAATATTTATTAAAAAGAATATCAAGAGAAATTTAAAAATTAATCTAAAATTTATCGGGACAGGGCGGGGTCGTGTTTAAGTAATACAATCTCGGGTCGGGATAGGGTATTGTACTGAGGGTAAGTAGTGCTCTTTGGAGAAGGCTTGTACCATTTGGAGAAGTCCTTGATTGGAGCTTACAAACAAGCCAAGTTAACTGAATTATCTTTGGGTTAAAAACAAAATGGTACAAGCCTTCTCCAAAGAGCACTACTTATCCCAACTAGAACCTTAACAATAAAATATAGGGTAAAGTACACAAATGTTCCCCCAATATAGGCACTATTTTATTGAGTCTCACAACTATTAAAAGTTATAAAATGGTCCCTCAACTATTGAGTGTTGTTTTGTTAAGTCCTTTGACTATTAAGAGTTATAAAATTGTCATCCAACTATTCTGATGTTCCAAACTCGTTTGAGCCAGACGTTAATCTGTTGATTGAGATATGATAAAATCTGATCCTAGAACCGTGTTGATAGGCACCAATAAAATATGATTTTATCATATATCAATCAGCAGGTTAATGTCCAACTTAAATGACCATAAATTTTTAACGAAAAATGACGAGTTTTTGAACATATGAATAGTATCCTATAATGGAGAGACAATTTTATAACTTTTAATAATCAAAAACTCAATAAAGAAATACTCTCAGTACACCATTTATGTACAATACCCTAAAATATATTTAGGGATGGACACGGGCGGGACGAGACGAATTTTTACTATTACTTAAACACGACCCTGCCCGATCCCGATAAATTTTATTGTTAAATGGTACAGCCTTCTCCAAAGAGCACTACTTACCCTCAGTACAATATCCTATCCCGACTCGAGATTGTATTACTTAAACACGACCCTGTCCGTCCCGATAAATTTTAATATTTCTCCCACCCTGCCCCCGCCTCAAATTTTAGATTAAAAACCCAACCCCAACCCGACCCAAATATATTAATATTTTAAAATAATATATTTTATAATAATATTTTATATTTATTTATTATATTTTAAATTATTAAAATAATATATTATATAATAATTTTATATTTTTAATAATTAAATAATATATTTTAATATATAAAAATAAAATCCTTAAAATCTTAAATATATTATATAAATATAAAAATTAATAATTTAAACCAAGTTGGGTCTGTTTTTTCCACCTTAAATCCGGCCTCGACCCACCCCGAAATTATTTTTCATATAACCCGTCCCGCCTCGCCCCCAAACCTCAAAAATTAAAAAAAACCGTCCCTATAGGGTCGAGTCGGGATCCGTCGATTCGAGCTTTTTGACCATCCCTAAATGGCTAAATATATTAACATGCCAAGTTCAAGTCTAAACATATACTAATATAAGAGTGATTCAGAAAAGAAAATCAAGTTTTATACAATCTCAAGCAGGGGAGTTTTGTTGTTTTTATAAGAGCTCTGCGTTCAAACTCGTGAAGCAACTTTCGATTTCACAGTCCATCAAATTCACAACTGGAACAAAAGTAGATTTAATTTACAAAGAAATTCGATTCCACAAGTTGCTAATGCTATATAAACACTATATGCTATACCTTACATATATCGGTGAAACAATCACTGATTTTCAGGATCAGTCTCGATTTCATGGGCCAGTTCTCTGGTCAGCCTATCGGCACGATCATCGTGTCCGCCGGCGAACGTATAGACCCGGAAAGCGAATTGGAAAGCCCTCCACAGCATTTTAGTGCACACTTTCTTTGTTGCTTCACCTTTTCCTTTGGACACTTCATTTCCTGCCAATTTTGCTTCTCTTCTCTCCTGAATTAAGTGAGGGAAAAAAGAAAAAAAACAGGCTTTACATTTGGTTGAGAAGGGAGACACAGAGTTATATTAATGACATTGTAGTCTGGGTTCGAGTTACCTTCAGTATCAACTCCATGCAGTTGGAGGAAACATCGACCATTGCTTCTTTGATTCGTACAATAATTTGGAAGTCAAAATCTATGTTGTGTGTCTTTAATTTCTTGGCTTCTTCATCCTTGGTTCGCTCCAGGGAGTCTATTTCCTTTTTTATCTGTTCAAGTAATAATCTGTATTAATGTCTATTGATGAGAACTGCATTACAAACTGTTATGTCAATTCAAGAGCCAAGTGATACCTTGTCGAAGTAACGTTCAACCTTCTCATAAAGCTGGGTTAAAGGAAGCTCAATCTTCATGTTTTGTAGCTCAGTCAACCTTGATTCTAACTTCAAATAAAGAGCCGCTGCTGTCCTTATTGCTTCCAGCTTTTTTCCAGGGAAGCCTTCAAACCTTGCTAGAACCTGCAAATTGCAAAATTTTGGAGGTCGTCCAACGATTCATGCGACAATTGGTTCATCCGTATGTAGAACGATAAAACTAGAAACAAGAGAAAATTTTACCTGACTTTCATCTGTTAAGTTCTCGAGAATGGATTCCACTGATTTGTGGAACTTTATTAGCTCAGACATGTCACTGGTTTTGAATGTACTGATGGAAGTTTTGATTTCTTTGATTGATTTTTCATATTTCTTAGCATCTTCTTCGATTTGTATGAAGTAAGTTGATCTGAGACCAAAACAAAGTGAGAAAAAAATATGAAGAGCCGCTTATTGGATTTTGATGCAAGATATATATACCTCTTTGTCATCTCTGCTAATGCATCAGCCATTCCTTGTTTTCCATTGCCGCTGTTTGCAGCACCACCTCCACCCTTTTTTCCATTAGCTGCAAAGGGGCCTCGCTTTGGAACTCCTTCTACTTTCCCCTTGAGATTTCGATATAGATTACCCATATGACTTGATCTCTTCAATCTAGTGTCTGCTTTCTTGGAGCGCACGCTACCAGGTAGAGGAGGCGGTGGAGCACCTCCATTCGCCCGTGACGCTCCTGGTGGTGGCGGCAGCATTGGTCCTGATCCTTTTGAAGCCATCATGGGTGGTGCTGGTGGTGAGGGTCGTATTGATGCAGTTCTAGTAGGAGGAGGTGGTGGTGGTTCTGTAATTGGTGCTGATATACTTCTGGGAAGAGGAGGTGGTGCTGGTGTAACTGGTGCTTCTTTTGCCACTACAGGAGGTGCTGATGGAGGGAGTGCTGCTTTTACTTCTATAACTGGCGCTGGTAATGGTTGTGCTGCTGTTACCTCTATATTTGGCATTGTTGGCGCTGGTAGTGGTTGTGCTGCTGTTACCTCTATATTTGGCATTGTTGGTGCTGATATACATCTAGGAAGAGGAGGTGGTGTTGGTGCAACTGGAAGTGCTGGTGGAGGGAGTGCTGCTGTTACCTCTATATCTGGCTCTGTTGGCGCTGATGGTGGTGCTGCTGTTACCTCTATATTTGGCTCCGTTGGCGCTGATGGTGCTGCTGTTATTACCTCTATATTTGGCTTTGATGGAGCTGGCGGCGATGGTACTCCGGTTGCTGCTGTTTCTTCCAATGCTGAACCCTGTGAGGGGGCCTCTGGTTCTTTTGCTTCTGAAATTGGTTGGGATGGCGTTGGTGGAATCTTCGATAAATCTTCTTCTGCTGCTGCTGCTGGTGGTGGTGGTGGTGATGCTGATCTGTCTTCATCAGCTTCTACATCTCCCGACAACTCAGGAGGTGGTGTCACTTCCGCCGGCGGAGTTAACAATGGTGTTATTGGTGGAGCTTTGCTTCCATTTATCGTTGTATCACCATATGCACCGTCTGAATCAGAAACTGGATCCTCTAGTGTCTCGTTCTGAGAGTTCAGATCCTCGGTTTCATCAACAAATTCATCATTTTCTTCATCTTGTTCCTCAATCAAAACCTTGTTTTGCTTCATTTCATCAACATCTTCACCATTTTCTTCTTTATCTTGTTCCTCAATCAAAACCTTGTTTTGCTTCGTTTCATCAACAACATCATTTTCTTCATTATCTTGTTCCTCAATCATAACCTTGTTTTGCTTCAAAAAACTGGGAACTTCATCTCCATAATCAGGAAGCATATATTTCAGTTGCTTAACATCCATGGGGCTCAGTTTCCCCACTGCTTGAATATTGACGGACAACACAACAGGCGAGGGATAAGAATGTTTTAATGGACCGTTCATCAACTGAGGCAGCACCGAAGTCGGTGAAGGGAAGCAATAGTCGCTTTCTTTACAAGGATTAACCTTTTGACATAAACCCTTATCATTCTCTTCATCTTCATTAATCATATCAGATTTCTCTCTTGCTATCTTAATCAACCCATTCAGTGACGCCACAGTAATTTCAACTGCCAAACGATGAAGAAGAAAGTGAAAACCATTATAAATTCCAATCAAGAACAAGCAAATTAACAAGGCAACTAGACTCTTTTTCGATACTGGAAACCGCAAACGAAAACGTTCCCAAAAGTTCTTGCAAGTGCTTCCTTTCTTCAAAAACCTTTAATCCCATTTTTCTTTGCAGTTTATCAGATTCAAACAGATATACATATAACAACAGGTAACATTCTCTGAGAAAATTTATTACATACCAAGTTTTTTAACACTTTTGTGCTCTTCATTGTTTATATCAAGTGTGCATTTGTCTATCCCTTCACCACTCATATTCGATACATCTGCTAGATCTTGCAATGTCTTGCAAAAGTAGATCAGTAGCTGTTTATAGGAAAATTCATGTAGATTGTTAGCATGAGATCAATCTTGAACTTATGCTAGAATCTAAACAGAATAACAGAGTTTTATGGAAAGGTTGCAAACCGTATCAAGAGGTAATTTTTTTAGTTTAGATCTACGGAACCGAGGTATGCTTTGAGGGTAGTACTTATGTAGATCTTTCACTGTTCCTATTATCATCTGCAGAATTAAGACATACTGGAAGATTAACTAAATGACTCCAAATGCATGAAGATTTTCGAATAAAACGAATAACTCGTCAGGGCCTAGTCAGAGTAATACATTTCAGGCTGATCATGAAGAGTTGCCTAAGAAGAAGGAGGCAATAAATGATACCTGATCTGTTGCTAAAGCTGTATTACAAGGTGGTAGATCAATGATGTCTCTAAATGTTATAATTTTCTTCCTAAGCTCCATCATCAGAATGAAGTTGCATTGCAATGGGGGTGAATTATCCTGATTGAAGCCCTTCCTTCTCTTTTGACTCTTGCATACCTTTGATAGAGAGGTACTTCCCTGTGCATATATACACATATATTCATGTAAGACCAAAATTTTCTTGAGGATTGCTGAGAAACATTATTGCATGATTTGTGAAGCAACATATAACATCATGACTTTTATCAAACATGACTCATGCAATCATTCAACAAAAAGAAAAATTGTGTTGAAATGGGAATTCTGTACAAATTTAACCATACAATAATCATAAAAAAAGACATTTTAAACAAATGAGCATGTTTTTCACATTGCCAACAACGGTGGGCTAGAGCCAGAATTTTATATTTCTGCAGACTGGACAACAATATATACACACACACACGCGATAAAGTACAATAAAAAAATCCAAGAGAGATTGAAAACATTTACCGGGACAAGTTCGACTGTTTTGGAACCAAAGAACATTGGCGTGAAACCACAGCATAGTGCACGCATGATCACTTAAAACGACGATCAGAATTCAATATAAAGAAGAAAGAAAAAAAAACGTCAATGGAACAATGATAGATGGACGTTGGATAATCTTAATAAAAGAAATATAAGAATATCCAAACGATAACAATCAAGAAGAAGAAACCCAGGTTCCAAAAGAAAGATCGATTTCGTGCAGCGCATTCGATCCCTGGATTTGTGACCTGAAACTCAAACCCAAAAGAAAAAGAAAAAAGAAAATAAAAAAATCTTAAACGACGAAGACGAGATGTTGTTTGAACATTGTTAGCAACTTTCTCTAAAAAGTTTGAACGTCAATAATAGAAATTTGCTTATTATGGACTGCACTCTCATCTTCTCTAACACTCCTGCTTTCTTGTGCGTGCTTTTACAAGTTAGTTGCTCAACCTCCTGCAATTCTTGGGTTTTGACCTTGTAAGTTTGGTACCATATCATCAATTCTTTTCTATTTTTGGTTATTCACTTTTGAAATTTCTTTCATATTAAAAGATTTAGTTTAATATATTTCGATTAATAGATCGGATATTATTTAATTAATTTTTAAAAAATATTAAAACTAATGTTATAAAATTTTTATGGTTAAGCATAAAGTCCTTAAACTATGCTCCATTTTCCTTTACGTTCCTAAATTATTTTTTATCAAAACAAATATTTAATTTTGTGTGATATGTCAATATTTTATTGGTTGAAGAAATTTTTCTAACTGAAAAAATTACTGGACTTAGAATGTTTACATATAATTGTTTAAGGATTTATTTGTAAAAAATATAGTTTAGAGACTTAAAGCAAAAAAGACATTTAAGGACTTATTTCTACTCTAAGCCTTAAAATTTTGAACTTTATTTGATAGAGTAGAAAGAAAATTGGAAGGATGAAAAATTAGAAGGGTAGAAAGGTGAATAGAATTAAAATTTTATTTCTATTGATTTGCAATGAGTCGAAACAAACTACTTAATATCTAACTCAAAAAGTTCGTTGGAAATTCGAAAATATAATATTTATTAATTTTTTTAATTAAATCATTAATAATATTAAAATTTATATGTTGTTTTTTAATACATTATAAGATTTTTATATACGTAAGGTTCAAGTTTGAGTTCGACCTTGTATCGAGCTCTATTTCAAGCTTCAATTGAGCTAAGTATGAGAATGTTTCTAGTTAAAAAATTTTCGAGCTCAAGTCAAACTTCAATTTAAATTTTGAGTTCGAGTCGAGTTTGACAATTTTAAACTCACAAACTTTTGAATTAAGTTGAGTTCGACTTTAAACATTTTGAATCAAGTAAATCTCAACAATACTCAAACATCGTTTGTTTACAACCCTAAATGTGAGTACAACTTTCTTTCTTTAGGTAATTTTCTTTTAGGGTTCATCATTTATGTCATTTTGGGGGCAGTTAAAGACCAAACCCACTAACTTTATGTTGAGATACCCTAAGCTAGGATACCTCATCTAATAAAGTGAGCCAATAAAACTCAATTGTGGTTAAAGCCTATGCTCAAAGCGATTTATAAAGGCCGTCACTCCCTTATTCGGTGACAAAGTACACGCAATAGTTATTAGTCAAAAGCAAAGAAAGATGCATTGAATTCATATATTATATATAGGATAACAATCCTTATATGTATAAAGAAAATGTTATGTTTTGATATCTAGTGTCTCCTGTTTTAAAAAATTATTAAGTAACACGTGTGATATTTATATTTTTTAAATAAAAATATTATTAAAAAATATGAACATGAAATCTGTCACTTAACGATTTTTTAACGATAGACGCCTAAAAATATAACGAAAAAAATATTAAATACCTATTTTTTTAAAAAAAATTATAGAAACCAATGTAAACAGATTCACAAGCTCTCCCTCTAGTAGCCCAACTCAGCTACTGCTACTACTACAGCCCAATACAATAGTCAAAATCTTCACCGAATCCGAATAAAGAACCCTTAAAAAAACCATCCACAAACTCTGCACCAATCATAGCAGATAGCAGAGCCCCCCATCCATCTCTTTCCTCCTCTTCTTCCTCGCCAAAGATGGTTGAACAAGAAGAAAATCTCAATTACTGGGGAAACATCTCAGAGGAAGAGTACTACAAGCAGCAAGGTATCAAAGGTTCAAAATCGTTCTACACTTCACCGAGAGGCCTCTCCCTCTTCACAAGATCATGGCTTCCCCTGTCTCAAAACCCTCCACGTGGCATCATCTTTGGGATCCATGGGTATGGCAATGACATAAGTTGGACCTTCCAGTCCACCTCCATCTTCCTTGCTCAGAAAGGGTTCGCTTGCTTCGCCCTCGACATCGAAGGCCACGGCAGATCTCAGGGTTTGAGATGTTATGTCCCGAGTGTTGATTTAGTTGTCCAAGATTGTCTCTCCTTCTTCAATTCAATCAAGCAAGATCCGAGCTTTGATGGGTTACCCTGTTTTTTGTATGGAGAATCCATGGGGGGTGCCATTGCTTTGCTGGTTCATTTTGCTGATCCCAAGGGTTTCCAAGGTGCGGTTTTGGTTGCACCCATGGTTAAAATCTCGGACAAGGTTAAACCCAGATGGCCAATTCCTCAAGCCCTCACTTTTATCTCCAATTTCTTGCCCACTTTAGCCATTGTACCGACAGAAGATCTCTTGCACAAGTCGATCAAGGTTGAAGAAAAGAAGATTGTCGGGAACAGTAATCCGTTCAGGTATAGAGGGAAACCCAGACTGGGAACCGTTGTTGAGCTCTTGAGGGTGACCGAGTTGTTGAGTCAAAAACTGAGTCATGTGAGTATCCCGTTTTTGGTTGTCCATGGCAGTGCTGATGTCGTTACTGATCCGGAAGTGAGCCGGACGTTGTACGAGGAAGCGTCGAGTCGAGACAAGACGTTGAAGATCTATGAAGGGATGTGGCACTCGTTGTTGTTTGGTGAGCCTGATGAGAACATTGAGATCGTTCGTAGTGATGTATTGTCTTGGTTGAATGATAGATGTAACACAAAGATCTGAGTAGGGTTTAATTTATGTATGATCTTTTGACTTCAAAAAGAAGATTAAATAATGAAACATATCATGTTTTATGAAATCTGAAAACCTGCCCAGAAACAAAAATGGAAATTCAATTCATTGAACAAAAAGAGCAAATCTTCTTCCCTACAAGCTCCAGCTCTGCTGAACTCAAACAACACAATGAACAAAGAAATAACATTAAAACGACAAACATTGATTCAACATTTAACCCAAGCAACATAAACCCACATGATGTTCTTACACTCTGATTGATTCCGAAACCGAACAACTTCGGTCATGTTTGCGGCTAAACCAGAACGGCAGCCACGAGTCGAAATTGAGAGCATAACTGGAAGGATCGTACTGTGACATGAACCGTTGTTTGCTTTGACTCTTCATTGCTTTCTTCAAACCTGCTTTAACTCCAAAATAAACTCATGCATCGTTTCTTCCCATATCTTCCCATGAAATCCATATGTTTTTTCTGTCATTGGAAACAAAATTCAATGACCCTTTAGGCTAAAATGTATGTCTTTTCAAAGAAACTTGCAATTTTCAACGGCAAACACTGGTTTTTATCTGGAATTTTACATTGGAGTGATGAGATTCTATCCGAAAGTGAGAGAGAAAAAGGGGTTACAATGGTCAGTGTGCAGTGGCAGTGAGACTTCCCTATTGTCGTAGTGTCAACATCTGATACGTTTGGTTTCAATCCAGAGTTTAAATTGGATGGCCATTGGGACCATTTCCCAGTTTGGTCTGCTGCCTGTGCAGTACTCAAAAGTCCAACCTTACCTAATGAAGTTAGATTCTTCTTAGCTCTTATAAATATTCGTATCCGATCTGAAAAATAGTCCTAAAATTATTGATGTCTCGGTCTTAAAAATAATATCAATTTCTTGTTTAAAACGGTTGATTTTATTCTTTTGATTCTCGTACGACGTATCAGCTCATTTGAACTCTCTAAACATATGATAATCTTCAAAATTAATCGAATATACATTGTTGGACGCATCCAATGTCAGACCTCACAGTCTAATGTCAAGCTACTTTCAACCAAATTGATGCATAAAAAACAAGCAATGCAAATTCCTCTTTAACTCGTCTCTTTTTGTCATCTTCAAAGCCATTTTGCTTTTAAAGATTCTACGTAAATTTCCCTCGTCTCATTTAACAACTCCACCCCTCGAATTCAATGCTTTGTGTTTAGGGTTGTTGTGCTCGCACCCGAATCCGAATTCCAGACAAAACGATGATGCAAGTAGTCAGTCCCTTTGAACGGAATAATGAGCCTTTTGAAATGGAAACAGAGGATATGGAAGCATGTTTGCTGTCAAAGGTGAAGTCCAGGGATATGTGGGCTAATTACTCTCAAAGTTCCGGCTACGCATCGCACCCGACATTCAACGATATCTGGCTGTCGATTCGTCTTCTATATCTGTTTCATGGAAGAGTGGTATAGTGGAAGGTAGATGATCCCTGCATCATTTCTGAAGTGAGAGGCCTCCTTTCCTTGCACTGGTTTTGACATGACACTGTACATATGTATGTTAAAGTTTTAGACTTTAGACATGAATATAGAAATGCTTCAAAATCATTTTAATACGAATAATTAACATATTAAAATACTTTAAACATGATTATAATTCACATAAAAGCTATATAAATACATGAATTACCAGTGTAATAAAATAAAAGCTATATAATTAACATATTTTAAACATGATTAAAATTAATAGTTAAAGTACTAAACGCGTTAAATTTTTAACAGTTAGATACTAAAATAAAACAATAACTTAAAATTAAGTATTATTTTAAAAAATTAAAAATTTAAATACTAAGATCAATATTAATAATTTGGTTCTAAATTTGTTGCTTACCCTAGAAAATTTTGGGTTTTGCTCTTCAATAAAGATATACCCGATTATAAAAACCAAAGTAAAGTGGATATGGACAAATACAAACAATACAATTAGTCCGTTTCAGTGTGCGAAAATCGTTAAATTACAATTGATAACTTAATTATTATAAAATTACAATTGGATCATTAAATTTCAAGACAAATACAAATAGGTCACACCATTAATAGATTATAATAAACAAATCATTTTATCGTTACTATTTTTTATTTTTAATAATAAGATGTCATGTCTTTTTACGATTAATTAATTGAATAAACCGTTTGTAACTTTTCTAAACTTGGTTATCCGTTTATAATAATATTAATAATAGCGCAGACTATAATGTATTTTACTTGCAAAACTAAAAGAATGTACAAAAGATAAACTAATAATAATACATTAAAACCAACAATCAGTTGCTATAGTAGAATGAGATACTAGATTCCTCAAACAAGATTAAGGGTTCGAACTCTGATGTTTATGAAACGAACAAATAGGATGCAAGGATCTGACACTACTCACGTGTTCATGATGGTAATGTCACTGATCCAAGGATCCGACACTACTCACGTGTTCGTGACGGTATAACATAGGATAATAGGATGCAATTAAAGCTAATTATGGAAGCTATTAGTATCCTCTTGGTGTTTCTTAATTAGCCTCAACTAATGCTTAACCTTGGAACTTTGAAGTTTGCCTTTGCCACAATCTTGGCCTAATGTGGTAATGTTTGACAAAAAAGGTTCAAGGCTCGAGTCTTGCTTGCCGGACTTCATCAAGCATAAATTTTGTGGGTTTCTAGTTGAGGAATGTAGTTTGGTTCGTGGCCGTTTTTCGATTCCTTGCTGTCCACTTAAACTATTTATGGTGAATGCTTGATGTTGATGTCGACGGTATTTCAAATGCACTATTATGAGTCGAGGTCTTTATAACCCAACTATATGATTAAGGATGTGTATTTATTGGATTATGATGAGCTTTCCTTGTTTAAGAACAAAGGAGTTGCAGAATAATATTTTGTTTTACAGTAAATTTATTTTCCTACACCGAGATCAATTGAGGAGCTTTAAACCTCCGAAAAGAGCAAACCCCAAATCACGATCGAAACCAATCCCCGAATCTTCTAAACAAACCAGGTTCTTGCTTATCGAACCGTAAAGCAGAGGAATCAAGAAGAAGAGGAGGGAAAATAGATGGGGAATGAAAGAAAAAAAGTAAGGAGTGAATAAAAAAACACTGAAATTGAGGGGGAAACGTTTACTAAGATTACCACGATGATCGCTCTTTTGATGATGTTTCAAACGATGGGAACACGAACATAAATCGACATGAAAAAGGGTCAAAGAAGGGATCAAAGGGAGCAAAATCGATTCAAAGGGTAACGAAGTCATATTATCTCCATATGCTCTTCGTCGACCCCAAATTGTGTTGAGAGAAAAATACCTTATTTTTCTGTTGTTTTAATGGATCGAATGAAGAAAAAACCAAACACAAAAGGATGAGACATATAAGAAAGAGGAAGAAAGCAAGACGACGAGGGGATCGGCGTAGGAGAAGCAGAGAAAGGTGAAGCATTGATGAACAGTACATGGCTTGACTTGGAACTCCCTGTTCGAAGAAGATTAACAGCAAGAAATGGGTGTGCGGCGGAGCAAATGGGGAAGCTAGGGGAAGAAGAAAAGTATATTGAAAAAGGGTAACAAAATTATAAAACGATCTCTAACTAGTATTTTACCCCGTGTTTCTTAGTAACATGTATTATTGCTCATAACATTTTGTGAGCTTTAACACCTGTATCTACCAGACTACCATTATACCAAGCAAGTAGCATGCAATTTCTTTTGAGATGATACAGTACATGTTTTCCAGGCCACTCTCCAACAAAAGCAACGAAACAAGCTATAAAAACCAATAATCTCTTCCATCGATCCGTATTTATTTCAAAAACTTATATAAGAAAAGGACTAGAATATTCATTTACTATGTTGTTCTTGCCGTCCATTCTGATAATATATTCCTTTAGGTTCATAGACCATCGGAGTACTCTACGTCGGGAGCTTTGGCCAATTTACCCATGTCCGCTCACCGCGATCGGAACCCTTTTGCCGAGGAAGAAGATGATGTCAACCCCTTTTCTGTGAGCTTCATTTCTCTTTATCCGCCGCCTTTATGATTTTCAAGTTCAATGAGTACATTATTTATTCTGATTACCGATTTGTGGATGTGATTCTCGCGATGTAAAATTTGCAGAACCCCTCACATAATTCACACTCAGGCTGCCGGCTCTTCCTCCTGAACCAGTCAGCTACAATTATGATCGCAATCCTGCCATTAACATGTCTCTCGATAGAGCAACGGTACGACGTTATTTTCTTCCTAAAATTCATAATATTTCTAAATTATGAATACAGTTGCCATGTTGTAATTACGGCTATAACCTAATCGAATTGAGTTTAAATATTGCTAATTTTGATTCTACTTAAATAGTTTGTAGTTGAGTTCGACTCGAGTAAATTTGCAAGTTTAAAATTGTCAAATTCGATTCGAACTCGAAATAAAAATTGAAATTCAATGCAAGCTTGAAAAAAATTAAACTCAAAACATTCTTAAACTTTTTCGATTGAAGCACGAACTCGAGCTTGAACATGAATTTTAACTACATGAAAACCTTATATTGCATTTAAAAAACATATAAATATATTGTTTTATTAGTTATTCATGAACTTTTCTAGTAGATATTAAGTAATTTATTTTGACTCGTTAAAACTCGAGTCGAGTTAAATATGAACCGTACTTTAACTAAATTAAATATGAGTAATTTGTGATTTATCTTGTCTCATTTACAAACCTAGTTGCAATAACTTTAAAAATTATTATAATACGACAGCTACTTAATATTGCGTTCAATGAAATTATCGCATCAGTTTCTCGGAATATATGTATTAATTATGATGCTTGAAATGTAGACTTTGAAGCAGAAAGAGAGAGAACTTCAAGCCAAGGAAGCTGAACTCAAGAAAAGGGAAGAGGTAGTTAATTCATTTACAAACATGTTAATAACATGTTGTAATTGCTATGTAGTCCCTAGAATAGATTTCCTGCTTTGCACT